ACTAAAGATCTGAGCACAAAACTAATTCTAAAATTTGGATCAAAAATACAACAATGGCTTGTATTGTCCGGGTATGCCTACACAACAGAAGATTTTTCCTATCATTCAATGGTAAAAATAACAGATGGAAAACGCAGAAGAACGGTCTCCTTTGGGGTAGCGTAATGGTACCTACACTGTATAATATTTACACAACCCATACCAGTAAATACTAGGACTTTTATTATGTAGACGATACATCGATATTGTTGCACAACCAAAAACTTTTGTTGCTGAAGTATAGAAAAATCTAAATCATACTTTAAACACAATAAAAATAGACTATGAATCAATTTTAAGCTAAACCTCAGAAAAAGTCAGAGGTCCTGCTTTAATGTCCCTAACAGAATTGCTTTTAAAAATCTAAACATCCAATAGTGTCATGAAATTTTTAAACTCTGGACTTGCTATAAATACCTTGAAGATAGTTTGTATCACACTTTGTCATTCATAGAACATTGTTTAAAACTAAAAGGCAAACTGAGGACCAGAAAAATAATCTCTGCAAACTTGTCAGCTAAAAATGAGAAGCATCCTTTCATCCTTAAAACGTAGACGCTTGCACTCTATGCTTCTGCTACCGAATATACCTTGCAAGTATGGATGACACCAACACATATTTAACACGTAGAATTAGCTATAAATTAGACAGCCAAATTCAGCGATTATTAAGACACACACACACACATCCATACATAAGCTCTACAATATCGTAGCTATCAATTCACCTAATATCCGAAGATAAGTAGCTAGACTGCTAGAGACTAAAAGATACAAAGTCTAGAATCGCAACATCCACTCAACGAATACCAGCTCAATTTATGACTAAAATCGAGAAAAAACTGACCAAAGATTATTGCAAATTTGACACTAACTCCACGTTTATTGATTACATATTACCCCTAAATAGCAGATAAAACATTTAGAAGTATGTAATATTGGTGAACTGGTACATTCTTTTTATATAAATTAAGCATTCTTCCCTCTTTTGTGCACTACTACCAATTTTTACATAAAAATATCTATTTTTGCACTTAAATATTTATTTTAAGATAACCTATCCAGAATTATATGTAGTACACAGATAAAACCAGAAATAAAATAATAAAGAAGCTGTATACAAGATATCGTAAAACTATAAAAATGGATTAACTAAAAGTTCTTATTAATCGTATTCTTAAATAAAAAACGTATAAAGACATATTCATGTTAACAAAATACATTAGGAAATATTCGCATATGAAAAAACACGTCCAACTTGGTAATGAAATCCTTTTGTATTTATAAAGCTATTTTTAGAATAGCAGGTACCTACCAAAAACAGGTATTTGGTATTATACATATCTATTACATATTGTCAATATGATCGCCAACATTCATAACGGATAGGCACATCAAGAAGAAGAAGAAGATTACATATTGTAATGCGAATGAAAAGGAGTCCGTATGAACCGTTTAAAATATATAAAATATATATATCAAGAACGCTGGCCTAAGTGCATAGTTGCCAAACTATCAGAGCTTACTTAAACCGATATTCCTATGGTTCCAATATACAGTGAAAAAGATCTGAACGACCCCTATAATATATACACGTGAACTAAGTGAAATACATTTACGATACAGGGTACTTATGAGCTCCAAAATTTTATTAAGAATTATGAAACTATACATCTTAACGAATCGACAGAGCCAATATTATGGAATGGTCATGTGAGCTCCGTATATCGGTGTCCACTTGACCACGGAGCTCACTTAAACCTGAATTTTAACATGGCGGAGTTCACTTTATGCCGTAAATATATATATATATATATATATATATATATAATATATATATATATATATGAGCATAAAAAAAAAACTAGCATCACAGTAAACGAGAGAACAATGAATAAACAAAAATCTATAACCTTATACGTATATATTTGTCATTTTTGATTTGATTGTAGAAATTTCTGTTGAAAACAAAAAAATATATATCACTAATGAATTTTATTCTAAACCTACTTTTATTCAAGGCACACAAAAATTCCAGGTTCATCGGTTCGTTTAGTGAAAACGAGCCTCTTTAGAGAAATTCCCTTTGAACGATTCCCAATAGCTAGCGGTCGACGAGAAGCACGCATTAAAACAATTACAGGCCGTTGTTATTTGGTTAATTACTGATGTTTGCTTGATTGTGTTTGCCTTATCGGCCACCATCTTGTGTTGAATGTGAAGTAGCTAGGTAGTACATTTTGAGGACGCAAATAGACTTTAACGTTTCGAGTTGTATGCATGCTTTTTATCTGATAACATAAAATTGAGTTTCGCTGGAAATGGTTTATGGGAACAGTTTTTATTTCATATTACCAACATTAAATAATGAACTTTATTTCAAAGTAATAGTTATACTTAATCGTTACATAAATTGGGGTATTCGTTTTTCCGTATTGTGTACTGATAATTGATCCCTTCAAACAATATCTATTAAAATAATGGACTTTTGTAGAATATATCATCAACTACAAACATTGACAAACTTTATGAAA